TTTTTTTTTTTTTTTTCCCGGTACCGGGAATCGAACTCACGACCTCGCGCTTGCCAGGCAGGCGCTTTGCCGCTGAGCTAAATCCCCAGCCCCTGCCCCATTTTTTTAGCAAGAACAAAATTAAATGTCGGGACCCAGGGTTGTAGCTCAGTGGTGGAATGCATCTGCGTTTGGGCCTGGGTTAAACCCCCAGCGTCAGAAGAAAAAAACTGTTTAAGCATTTGTCTGAAAAAAGTAAAAAGGATCTGAGACTGTCTCCCGACGTGATGGCGCTTTGTAGCGATCCACTGGGCGCTTGCTTGGTGCTCGAATGACGCTGAGGGCTTTGCAGACGCGCGCTCCAAGTTTGCACCGCTCCCGGCGCGTGCGCGCGGAGCTGTCCGGCGGCTGGTGCCCGGGACGCCGAGGGACGCGCCTGCCACAGCGGGGCGGGCCTGGGGCTCCAAGCCTGTCTGTCGTGGGAGACACTTGAGCGTACGCGCGGGAATGGCAAGAAGCTATTCTTTTTTTTTTTTTTTTTTTTTCCGGTACCGGGAACCGAACTCACGATCTTGCGCTTGCCACGCAGGCGCTGTGCCGCTGAGCTAAGTCCCCAGGCCCTAAGAAGCTGTTCTTGAGTTCTGTGGGAATTCAGGACTAGGAAGCGGAACTATGATTTGTGTTCTCTACGTGTACAAGCGATGTACTCTAAGAAATGTTCTGTAAGATAGTTGAAAAGGTTTGACTGTCCAGGAAGGTGGCTGCCTGGTGTTCAGGAAGCTATAGGATCGTCTTGGTACGGTCTCAAGTGTGAGTTAAAGGACAAGGAATTGGACAGCCTGACCAACTCTTGCCTAGCTGTTCAGACTACCTAGTATTCGTAGAGAAGGTTCGCTTTCTTAGGCTTGATGAACTTAGCCGACTCTGACATTCATCCAGCTCTTCGCTGTGTGAGCAAATGTTTAATGAAACACTTTCTGCAATAGTCTCGCACGGCACTGGTAGATGTACATGGGGTCGGGGCCTGACCCACCCGCAGGAGCGCAGTCCCCTTTGTCCCACAGAACCTCAAAATATGTAACCCTTCCCCAGCGCTTTAAAAACATTTTGTTTTAGGGTCTGGGGATTTAGCTTAGCGGCACAGCGCCTGCCTGGCAAGCGCAAGGTCGTGAGTTTGATTCCCGGTACCAGAAAAAAAAAAAAAAAAAAAACTACCAAAACATTTTGTTTTGTTCATTTTTAAAATTAATTTTGTTCTGATAAGTGCTGTGTAGGGAGAGTAAGAAACTTGTACTGAAGGATTTTAGCTGCATTTTAGCTTCCTAGAGGGGTTTCTTTCATCTTTTTTCTTGTGGTATTGGGGAGCTAACCCAGGGACAAACCCATGGCTTCCCACATGCTCGGCAAGTGCTCTCTCTCTGAGCTACGTTGGCAGGCATTCTTTTTTTTTTTTTTTTTTTTGAGACAGGGTCTGGCTATGCAGTTCAGGCCGGCTTTGAGCTCACTTTGTAGCCCAGGCTGGTCTCGAACTTGCAATGATCCTCCTGCCTCAGCCTCCCGAGTGCTGGGATTACAGGTGTGCGTCACCACGCCCGGCTCCAGGCATTCTTAAACTGGTATTTCACGGTACTTTGTAACACATAGCCTGTCCCACAACTTAAGTTGTGCTCAAAATACTCTTAAAATAGGGAGAAATTATATAGAAACCCCTAAAAGAACTTATCTTAGTGTTACTTAATATAGCTTCCAACGCCATCCAAAGTTTTCTGCCGAATTGAATCTTTTTCTCCTGTCTTAGGCAAAAGGCTCAGGTGTGCCCTGTTCTCTTTTATTCGGTTATGCAACAGTGTTGAGCCAAACTTGGTGCTCTTCTCAGACTAATTCCTGGGAACTCAGTAGAGTGGTTTTCCTTCACAGGTTCATACTTTCATGCGTGTATTAGTTTGCTGTGGTGGCTGTGACAGTTACACAAACTTGCTAGCTTAACACAACGAAAACAGTCTCCGCCAGTTCTAGGGGCCAGAAATCCAATATCAGTATCACCAGGCTGAAATCGAGGTCTCTGCGCTCTCTCTAAGATCTAAGGAAGAGCATGTTCCTTGCCTCTTCGAATTTCCATCAAGAGAAGCCAGTTTTCAGTTTTTTTCTTTCAGTTTTCAATTTCTAGCCCATAGAAACTGTGAGATCATAAATGTTTTGAAACTACTAGAAGCCAGGTTCTGGAGGCTGAGGCAGACTTGCTCGAGCCCAGGAGTGGAGGCCAACCTGGACAACATACACTTCATTTCAAAAACAAAAAACTTGCTATGTTTTTGGGCTGATTTGTTAACATAGCAGTAGGTAGGTCAGGGAGTAAGGAAATGTGATAATAGGGGCTGGTGATTTAGCTCAGCGGCACAGCGCCTGCCTGGCAAGCATGAGGTCTTGAGTTCGATTCCTGGTACCGGAAGAAAAAACAAAAAAAGAAACTAAGGTGATAATAGGGGCTTGCTGAACTGTGGTGTCATTGTCAAGGGAACAGTGATGGGACGAAGGGACAGCTTTGTGGAGGAAAACGTCAGTTTTGGAAAGGCTGGGTTCAGGCTTCCCGTAGGACTTGAAGCTAGCAATGTACAGTGGGAAATTAAATGCAGAGACACACTTGGAATAAGATATACTTTGGAAGTGAAGAGCGGATGTGGATCACAGAATATGTGGGATGGCCTCACTCGGTGTCTCGGGATGGCTTCTCCAGTCACTGAGTTTGAGGTGTGAAGTATTCAGGATCGAGCGCGGTGAAAGGATGAGGAAGAAAACAGTAGCAGGTAGAGGAAGAAACTGCGTGCATTCCAGACCCATCTAAACCCCAGTCAACCCTGAGAGGAGCTCTGGGACGGTTGTCACCAGCCCCAGTGTCCTGTGTTGGGCCGCATGGCCTAGCCTCCCTGCACACCTGCCTTGTCAGTCAGCCAGATACGGGCTGCCCCAGAGGAGTCAAGAGGAGGGGTTCTCAGCGGCTGAGCCAGGCAGTACTGCTGCTAGGGGACACTGCCGCCATGTTTCCCAGTCAGGTAGCTTGAAGGGCATCTGGGTAATGCATTTCTCTGTCTTCTACACCTACAAAAAGTGAGTAGAGGGAGTCAACAAAAACTAACTGTGGCGGGAGGCTGAGGCAGGAGGCTATCCTAGGCTGCATAGTGAGTTCAGGACAGGCCTGAATTATGTGGTGAGATCCTGTTTCAAAAACAAAACAAAACACCTAATAAGGAAATACTAATATTTAAAGGATAGGAAAATGGAGGAAATAGAATCAATCGAGGGAGACTGAACAGAAGATTCAGTCAAAGGAAGAATTCTGATAGCACTAAACCAAGGCCACATAAAGTTCAAGTAACATAGAAACAGAAATTTGTAGAATTGTTATGGTTTGTGTGTAGATGACCCCCGAAGCCTCATGTGGTCATGGGTTTTTCATAAGTGGCTGAATCTAGTGTGTGATTGATTGATAGTGCAATGCTAGGATTAAGGGTGCTGGAATTAGGGTGGGTGATGGCTGGATCAGCCCTCTGATTGGGTTGGCACTGTCCAGTCACGAAGAGGCAGGACACAATATAAGGGACAGAAAGAGGCCTTTTCAGTCTCTCTTGTTGCTTTTGCTGTCCTCCAGTGTCATCCCTCTGCCGTGCCACCCCGCCTTGGAGCCAGCTGATTATGGACCAAAACCTGTACGAACTGAGCAGAGTAAACCTTTCCCCCTTTACCTTTGGGTGTCAGGTATTTCGTCTCAGCGGTGAGAGAAAAGTAACTAAGACACTTCGTGTTTCCTTCTAACAGTGTTCTCTTTTCCAGGGTGGATGAATCCGGCTTTTTACGTCCTTCTGCAGTTGCTCCCGTAGCCTGCAACCCCAAGGCTTAGGCATTGCCGTGAGGGAATGCTTTGAGAGGACTGCTTAGGAACCAGGTTAGCGAATGGCATTTAAAAGTGGTGCAGTGCCTCCTGATAGAAGTGCACAGTAGTACCTCTGAGACTTTTTTTTTTTTTTTTTTTTTTTTTTGGTCTTTTTGAGACAGGGTCTTGCTATGCAGTTCAGGCTGGCTTTGAGCTCACTTTGCAGCCCAGGCTGGTCTCGAACTCACACCAATCCTCCTGCTTCAGCCTCCTGAGTGCTGGGATTACAGGTGTGCGCCACCACACCCAGCGAGACATTGTTTTTAAAAAATATAAATCCGGTCACGCTAACTACCCATTTTAGGAAATGAAGGGGACAGAGGACGTGTGCGGGGACTCCGAAAGGATGCAATTGGCAAAACCTAGTGTGTGAAAAGCAGGCTGACAAGTTTTTCAGTAAAACAGTGTGTGTGTGTGTGAGAGAGAGAGAGAGCGAGGGAGAGAGAATTAGTAGACAAAACCAGGTACATAACTTGCAGGGTCATGAGGGTCATGAGGGTCTTTGTTCAGAGCTAGGAAAATGTCATTCAAGGAACTAAAATATAAAGCTATTTACTCTCTTTTGCAAACAGCATCTCTAATCCCAGACTGTGGGAGGCTAGGGCAGGAGAATCAAAAGTTTAAGCTTCTCCTGGAAAACTTAGGCAACTTAGAGAGACAGCCCTTTGAAAAGGGCTGGGGCTGTAGCTCAGTGGAAAGCCCCTGGGCTCAACCTCCAGTAACTTAAATAATAATAATAAAAAAATCTGAAACAGCACACTGTCTACAAGGGACTCACTTTAGGTTTAATGCCGGGAATGGTCACGCATGCGTGTAATCCCAGCACTTGGGAGGCTGAGGCAGGAGGATTGCCATGAGTTTGAGGCCACCCTGTATATCAAGACCCTGTCTCAAAAATAAAATTACTTTTTCATGATCAACCGTTTCGATTATTAAATGCTTTGAAACTGAAGGACTTAATCCCACAGTTCAGTCCTCAGCAGAGTGAGCATCACTTGTACTACTTTGTAATTTGAAAATATTTTAAGGGGCTGGGGCTTAGCTCAGAGGCGTATGCTTACCATGTTGGAGGCCCTGAATTTGATCCCTAGCACCACACACACAATACATAAAATATTTTAAAATGAAAAACTCATTTATGACAGCTTTACTCGTAACAAATACAGGAAACAGTTTAGGTGTCCATCAGTAGATGCATACACAAGGGGTGATCCAAAGATACAGTGACTATTTAAGTTTTAAAAGCTTATTATAGCAATAGAGACATTGCCAAGAATGATGGGATAACTATGTTCCAAACACGGGGGTCTATTTTGGGGGGGATTGGTGGCAGTGTATCCTTTACTATAATAAATTTTAAAATCTAAATAATCACTTACTTTTGATCACTTGCTATTAACTGTTTGCAGCAATTTCTGTTGAATAAAAACATTACAGTGTGTCTTTCTTTTTTTGGGGGGTCTTTTTGAGACAGGGTTTTGCTATGCAGTTCAGGCTGACCTTTGTAGCCCAAGCTGGCCTTGAACTCACAGAGATGCTCCTGCCTCAGCCTCCTGAGTGCTGGGATCACATGGGTGTACCACCACACCTGGCTCTAGAGTGTGTCTTTATCCACCTTATTCACTGGACCTGGCACCGTGTGACTTCTGTCTCTTCCCCAAAGTCAAAAAACCTTAAAGGTAAACATTTTAAATCAATGCAGGACATTAATGAAACTACAACAGTACAATAAAAGGTATTCACAAAAAAGGCCTTCCAGATCTGCTTCAGACAATGGTAGAATGATGGGATAAGTGTGTTTGAAATGGGGGGAGTACTTTGAGGGGGGGTTAATGGAAATGGGTCTTTTACAGTGATAAATTACTAACTATATTTTTATCATACCTCATATAAAAGAGAACTATACTATGTACTTATATAATGTGCTACTCAGTAATACACTGGAATGAACTATTTTTTTTTTTTTTTTTTTTTTTGGTTTTTCTCCGGTACCGGGAACCGAACTCACGACCTTGCGCTTGCCAGGCAGGCACTTTGCCGCTGAGCTAAATCCCCAGCCCCTTGGAATGAACTATTGATGTACGTGTTAACATAGATGAGTATCAAACGCTATGCTAATTACTTACAAAAAAGTAAATACTGTATGACCCTATGTGTAGTAGGTCAAGTTCGGCGGCGTGCACAGCTAACCCGTGGCAGGGGTGGGGCGGGCATCAGAACAGGGGCTGCCTCTGGCTGGGGCAGGCAGGAGCAGCTGGAAGGAAGGGGCTCTATGTGAACGCTCCTGTCCTATGTCGCGATGAGTTTTAGGTTCATTAGTTTGTCAAAACTTGAGAGAATGTTCCCTTAAGATTCAAGAGTTTCATTGTATGTTTACTTCAAAGGCCTGGGGATACAACTTGGTGGTATTTTTTTTTTTCCCCCCACATTTTTTTTTTTTTTTTTTTTTTTTCCCCCTCGGTACCGGGAATCGAACTCACGGCCTCAAGCTTGCCAGGCAGGCGCTGTGCCGCTGAGCTAAATCCCCAGCCCCGCCTTGATGGTATTTCACTTGCGTCCCATGCAGCTTCGGTTCCAGGCACTATAGATACAAAAAAGACGGGAAGGAAACTAGAAATACTGCGTACCAACCAATGTGAAACATGTTAAAATATTTAAAGAGATGTAGTGATGCATTAAAGACCACTGTACGGACAGAGGGATAGAGATGTGATTATTAAAAGTATAATCAAGTCTAGACAATAAGATCAAGAGGGCGGGTATGTGAGTGTTTCCTGTAAAATTCTTTCAAATTTTTCCTGTTGAACATTTTTATAGGGCAGTGTTTTGGGAAACTAACTAACGAGAGCCATCTTCGGGAGGGAAGAATCTGGTATTGCAGGTTGGCTGAAGGAGGCGAGCGCCGCGAAGCGTGGCTTTTCCCGTGGTTGGCATGCCACGGCTGCCTCTTACGGCTCACACGCGCTGCAGGATTCTTCTCATGTGTCCAAGCTATCCTTTTTGCCTGGAGAGCTTTCTTTCCTTTAGTTGGCTGAATTCCTACTTAAACTTTACTTTCTCTAGAACACGGTTGGCAGACTTTTTCTGTAAAGGACCAGATAATGAATGTTTTAGGTCTTTTGAGCTAAGAGGCAAAATTGAACATGTTGTGTAGGTACTTGTAGAACAACGGAGTGAATTCACAACATTTTATTTGGTAAAATTAAAAATATAATATTGAGTACAAGATTTGTAAAGCAGGTCTAATGAAAAGAATTAAATATTTTTGCAGATATTTTTGTTTTCTTAGACGTAAATAATAGTTTTCCTTGTTAGATTGCAAAGTTTTATTCTCTATCAAAATTGCAACATCTGTCAATCCTGATTTATAACAAGATTTTATAAATTGCATTTTTAAAATATATCTTTCATGTACATAGGCATGCAGTATACTGGTATCAATCCAAGAGCATGTAATTTTATTTTTATTTATTTATTTTTTGGTCTTTTTGAGACAGGGTCTCGCTATGCAGTTCAGGCTGGCCTTGAGCTCCCTTTGTAGCTCAGGCTGGTCTCAAACTTGCAACGCTCCTCCTACCTCAGCCTCCCAAGTGCTGGGATTACAGGTGTGCACTGCCATGCCCAGCAGGGGCATGTACTTTGAATTGAGTATTTTAATGTTTTTAAAGTCAGTGTTATAGAAATAATAATATTCTCTTGATGTTTGCCTTTTAGCAAAGTCAGATTAGTCATTTCCAATGTAAGGGTAGGTGAAAATTTCCTAATTGCATAGTAAATTGATTTTTTTTGTTGTTTTTGGCTTTTTGAGACAGGGTCTTGCTATGCAGTTCAGGCTGGCCTTGAGCTCACTTTGTAGCCTCGGCTGGTCTCAAACTCAGAATGATCCTCCTGCCTCAGCCTCCAGAGTGCTGGGATTATGGGCTGCGCCACCATGCCCTGCAAATTGATTTTGAAATATAGAAATTTCCTTTGCAGATGCATTGAGATCTGTAAAACAAACTGTACTTTTAGCTTGAAAAATATAATCACTGGGCCAGGCGTGGTGGTGCACACCTATAATCCCAGCACTTGGGAGGCTGAGACAGGAGGATCGTTTCGAGCTTGAGACCAGCCTGGGCCATATAAGTGAGTCCAAGGCCATCCTGAACTGCACAGTGAGAACCTGTCTCAAAAAGACAAAAAAAAAAAAAAAAAAGAGAAAGAAAAAGAAAAATATAATCACAGAAAATGTGTGAGGATAAAAGTCTTGCTTTTTATCATGTGACTCAATATGTTGTCAAGGGGCTGGGGATTTAGCTCAGCGGCAAAAGCGCCTGCCTGGCAAGCGCAAGGTCGTGAGTTCAGTTCCCGGTACCGGAGAAAACCCCCCCCCAAAA